TCAAAGCCTTTTATGGTGCGTTTCCAGGAATCACGTGATTGGATTAACCTAGTACTGTAATAAGAATTACAACAGTACTAGTTATAACAATTTCTCTTAGTTTAGGTTAGTGCTCTTTTGCCAGAGTTCAGAAATGTATCACAACATTTGTGTTTGCTCAGAATCAGTCAATATTATTTTGGAAAGATTATTTTTTTAATTAATTTAGTAAAGAAATATATAAATATACCAATGACAGTATGTGATACTGTATATACAATTTGTCGACTGCCTGTTTCGTATGGCGTGTTCCTGAGTCTTTTGACCAAATTGTTATAGTTTTGAGTTTGTACTTCCTAAAACAGAGTCACAGACCAAAACAGAGTCACAGACTCCAAACATATCAGACTTTGGAAATATAACAAGTGATTTAGACCACACGTAGAAAACAGCAGCATTACTGGAGATGATGGTAGCCTTTATATTGAAGTACAGTAGTACTGCAGTAGAAATGTAGTAGACATGTACATAGTAGGTATTACACAATTACAACAGTAAACATTGAGCTCTAACCTTCCTTCATGCATGGGTTCTATACGCTGAACTTCTGAACAACATTTCTTTCTTTAAATATATGAGTGAAATACAGTTGAACTCATGCAAACAGTCACAGTTGTAGTGGAAAACAATGAAAAACAAAGTATAGTTTAATGGATGGTAAAAGGCAAGAGAGAATTCACACCTACATCCTCTGTGAAACCACAATGAGACTTCAACAGAGAGCAGAGGTCGGTTAACACAGAACTGGCCGAGCCTTTGCAAAACTGCAGACCACACTGTTATAAGACCACTTCTCACTGCTGACAAATATTTTCCAGTACACAAAACTACTTGTTTTGTGTACTGGAACATTATGTTACATAAACATTATGTTATGCTGGTAGCTACTCTGAAGGATGATAGCACAGATCCGCTCATGTGATCACCATCTTTACTCCGTCGTTCAAACATACATCTGTACACACTTCTTTTCCTCTCTCCACCTCCAGATCCACTGCATGTTATGAACACAACAGATTAGTTCACGGCAACAGTTACCACGAACCATCGTGGTTAGTCACGTGATTTTCTGTGATGAATGGCCATTAATGACATCATTGTGTCCAAAAAGTTCTAATAGATGTTCAAAAGTTCTGCTTGATAAAGCTCTAATGTGTAAATCACTTTAAACAGAAATGCTCTCCAACTGAATTTGATGAAAAATGCATTTAAGTGAAGCTTTAGACTCCAGGTACTATTCTAACTGCTTCATGTTGGTTTTTCTTTCTTCTTTAGAAGATGCAGCGGAGACTTCCTGTTTGAAAGTAGGCAAACAAAGACAGTGGAGCATTTTCAGACTGATGATGATACAAGCCAAGCCCAAATCTAAACATCTCACTGTCGTGTGGTCTACAGTCAACTTGTCAACTTGAACAGAGGTGGTAGTTGGCTCTGCAGCTAACATGACAGTGGAGTCAAAGAATAAAGATAATCTTTGTGTCCACTCTCTGAACACCAGCTCACTGTTATATTCATAGTCATGTGCATTAATGAAAGCACAGGGTTGGATTCCCTCTTTCATGGCTTTGAGTGCATGTTGAGTGCAATGAAAGGCCACCTGAGAGGCAAGAATATGGCTCGTTTACACGATTCAGTTGAATTGTACTTCATGCTTGCCTCGAGGTATGGTTTACAATTATTGGCTTGAGTGAATGAGATTTATATTAATATGCATACTCTCAGAAAGATTTTAAAACCTGATGCTGGACGCTTTTTCCTCCGGTAGGCCCAGACTGACCTGAGAAGAGGGTGAGTACAGATGTAGTGGCACTCAGCGTAGTCATCAGGGCTCGATGTTCAGCGTGTGAAAGTTATCACGTAATTACGTGATACTGAGCCTTTTTTTTTTCTCAGTGTGGCAGCAATACGCTCCAGTACAGAGAGTGACATATGACACATGACGTCAAACACTGCTTTTAATGAACACGTTTATTTTGTTTGGTTCACATTCAGTACAGATGAAAATGTTACATACTCAGTTGACTTTAACTCTTGAATAAACACACTGACTTTCATATTTCTCTCTTCTTGATCTGCTGACCTTGTCCATCCTTAAAGCAGCATAATTGTTGTCTTCTATGACCTGATGAAAGTTAAAGTGACATTATGGGATTATTTCTGATTTAAGCATTATCTGTATCAATAAAACCTGTTTATGTTTATTCTACCTAACTGAATGACTGATTTTGATAAACTGATGTCAAACTGGCTCAGAGTTTAATACATACCTCAGTGTCTGGCAGTAGGATGGCTGCGTGTCTCGCTTGATCGTCTATAACAACACCCAATAGTGTTAGTAATTATTATTGCTAAAATTTAAGCAAATAGTTGTGTTTTCTAAGTTAAATTAAACATCTTTTTACTATGGATCTCTACTTTTTTAACACAGCTTGTTTGTCACCTGGTACCACGGTCATCACCATGGTATGGATTGTATTTTTCCATCACTGACATTTTCACACACACACCCAACACTGACAGAACACTAATTTGAGCCTTCTTCACCTAAGCCAGTATTTCTCAAATAGTGGGGCGGGGCCCCCTGGGTGCGAACGGTGAGGTGCCGGGGGGTGTGAGGGGCTTCCAATGGAATATGGCACGCTGGACATTAGAGTACCACTGCTGTAATGCTTGAATGATAACAAGCCTCCAGTCACTAGGTGGCAGCAACTCATATAGTGGTTTATACAGATAAAAATATACATCGTATCAGGTTCTCAATAATAAGTTAGTATTAAGAGGTGTTACCCAAATACTTACAGGTAAACATCTTTTTACTATGGATCTCTACAACAACTTGTTTGTCACCTGATACCACAGTCATCACCATGGTATGCATTGTCTTTTTCCATCACTGACATTTTCACACACACACCCAACACTGACAGAACACTAATTTAAGCCTTCTTCACCTAAGCCAGTATTTCTCAAATAGTGGGGCGGGGCCCCCTGGGTGCGAACGGTGAGGCGCCGGGGGGTGTGAGGGGCTTCCAATGGAATATGGCACGCGGGACATTAGTGTACCACTGCTGTAATGTTTAAATGATAACAAGCCTCCAGTCACTAGGTGTAGATTAAAATATGCATGTTATCAGGTTCCCAATAGTATTTCAGTTAGTGCGGGTGTGGGTCGACGGGTGTGAAAACATTTCTGTCCCAAAGGTGGGCATGACAGAAAATAAATGAGAACCACTGACCTAGGCAGCAGCAGATGTTTGTTTTGTACATTCTGTACACTGCGCCACAGAGGAAGGCATTCAGAACACTGGTTAAGGTCAACGCTCCACTCAAGATGTACGTCAAATCAGAGTCGTGAATGAACTGTGAATGAACTGCAAAGTGACAGAACAAAAACAGATTCCAAAATCTTTGAACTCATGCCCGTCACCAAAACAACTTTTGCTCTTGACTGAATGTTGATACTGTACCTTCAGCATTCAGTCTGCTCTTCTTTTCAAACAGAATGTGTGCACATGAGGCAACAGCACAGGCATAGGTTCCAGCATCAGAGAAGACTAAACTCTTTGTTAGCACACTGTAAGCACATGTTTGGTTTTGTGTGCCACTGTCTCCTTTGGTATAAATGAGTCCGAGCTGATGGTCTGCAGTGTTCCTAAACCAGTTAGCCTTGAGGTTTCCATCGTAGGCCCCGTCCTCAACCGTACAGTTCGTATTTACAGAAACTTCTCTCTGGATGTTCTCAGCTGCTCCCTGAGGGACAGGTATTGGGCTGTCTGATTCAGTCACTGTCACTCTGATGCCTTCCAAATACTCAATTGCTGTCACTAGACTGCCACTCATGCAGTGATAAGTAGCTGCGTCTGAAAACTGCACATCTGAGATCGTCAGATGGTTTTTGTAGTTGGTGGTTTCTACAGAGAAGCGTTCATTCTTCTGCCACTCCCCGACCAGCTTTCCTTTTTCCGTGTGCTTGTAAAATGTTGACACTAGTTGTAGTTCTTTGAAATTCTGCTTATACCAGTAGAACATGTTGGCAAGAGAGTGTTCACGGGAACACTTGAGGGTCACCTCATCACCTACGTTAACTGACACAACACGCGGGGATGACGGTCCATCATGAGCTGTCGAGACAAGTGAGGGGGAAATCAACAAGTCAACTTTTCCACGGTTCATGCACGTCAGAGAATAAAATGATCTTTTCATGCAGACGTAAAAGAAAGAACTCACCCGTGGTTCCAAAGAGCAGACACATCAGATGAAAAGACAACGCAGCTTGTTTCATTTCGGCAAGGTTGCACAGTGGTTCTTTGATGATAGATACTGTATGTCTGACGTGCTTTTTTACCTAGAAGTGGTCACATGGTTTTGCATGTGGTCCAATCACAGAACCCCACATATGAATAGAGCAAAGAATGTATGTAAAATAATTACAAATGCATTATGTGTATATATAAATAACTAGTATTTATTATATACAGTACATAATAAGTATTAGTTATTTACGTACGTATAAAAATTTTGAGTTCCCTGTTCTTTGAATTCTCAAACCTACTTTGCATTACAAAATTAAATAAAATTCACTGTTGTGACATACTCTTGTATGTCCACCTGTCATGTTAATGTCTATAAATCTTTTTCCATCCACCAGAGGAAGCTTTAATTCAGTGCTGCTTTTGATACAGTTGATTAGAATATACTATTACAAAGCTTTAAGCCAAAATTCCATTATTCAATTATGGAGTTCCCCATGGTTCAGTACTTGGTCCAATATCTATGAAGATTCTCAATCATCCAGGTCATGGTCAAGGTTGAAGAGTTCCATTAGGCAACTGGACGTGAAATTTTCTCAAGAAGACGTTTCACCTCTCATCCAAGAGACTTCTTCAGTTCTAACTGGTGCTGGGGAGTACAGCAAAAATATACTGTGGTGTGACAAGGAATAAAGCTACTGTTGGGTGGGCAATTGGGGTAATCTGGGGAGGTGTTAACAGTCATTAGGAGTTGCAATCCTCATTAGAGTGTTTTTGGTCACATGTCTCTTTGATGTGTGAAACTGGCAGATGGGAGGTGAATCTTTTGGGTATTGTTCCTAAGAGCATGTCTTGGACCCCCATTGTCCAATTGTATTTACTCTATACATGTTCCTATTAGGAAATATTTTTAGAAAACATAATATCACCTTCCATTGACACGTTGGTTTTATATAGGTAAACTACAGTCTCGTGATGTCAAACATGCTCAAATACTGAGTCAACAAGTGTAAGTTTTTGTCTGGGCAGGCCAAATAAAGAATCCTTCCTGTGATTACTCACATTAATGTTATAGAACGTTTTTCATTAATTTTCCTGATCTCACTCCAGTGTTTCGATGTCATTGTTGTATAACCCTTTGATTCAAATGTTATAGTATTAACAAGTTTTTTTTTAATCTGAAGTATTTATTTCTCACATAATTGGTTTGTTGATTCAAACTCACAGGTCCACTGGTCATACATCATTTATTCATATGTTTTTAAACTATGACAACGATAGATCAATCTTCTAATAAGGAACTCAGAATAAGACACAAAGGAACTTCAGGCATGAAAATCACCACATGAACTGAACAGTGCAATGGTCCCACAAAGACAGAGTGAGGGAGAGAGGTGTATATATACCCAGGGCACCAGGTGACGCCTGTGAGACTAATGACAGAGACACAGGTGAGTGTGATGACACTGATGAACAACACACAGCAGACAGCAGGAACAGGAAACAGACAGACCTCACAAGGAGTAGCAGGACACCATCAATAAATATGGAAAACCTGAGCAGTGAATAGATTAGTATTAGTAGTAGATTAGTGGATAATCACTGTTGTTGTGTGTGGGGTTGCAATCTAAATTATTTATTATTATATTTTTATATTATTATTATTCCTCAATTGAATTTAGTATAATTATAAGGATGTTATATAAACAGTATAAATAGCTGAGTAGTTAAATAATTTTATTTATATAAACAGTTAGATATATGGGCGGTTCCAGCAGATATATTAGTGAAGTGTATTACATCCACAGTTATACAACTAATATTTCCAGGAGTTAGTGAAACTAAATGACTTGTCATGGTGACACAGCACACCAAGAAATGTGACCTCTGCTTTTAACCCATCACCAAAGTGAACAGTGGGCAGCTTTAACCCTAGAACACTAACGTTAAAATTACTAAGACCATCACTAACGTCGGGTATATTTTACCCGATATAATATCCTGGATAAAATCATCAATTCTTTTTTTCATCAATGCAAGTACAACACTGTTTGCCAAATTTTAGTACTCTTTTTTAATTTCCCAATATACAATACCACATAAAATTTATAAAAAAGGTACCATGGGGGACCCTTTAAAAAGGCAGCAAAATGATTGAAAAGTCAGGTAATACTTAACGAGAAAATTCCAAACAAAAAAATGGGACATGTGAGCCTTGTCTTGTGAAGGCACAGTCTTCCTGCATCAACTGTGGGAGACATGGCAAAAAATGGCATTTTGGAATTTTTTTCGACTATATGAATTTCTTGGGAAATTGCCATTAAGTGATGTGTATTCATAGCCATTATACTAATTAAGGATTGTATGCAAACTCTGGGACAACTCTAACTTACTGTACCTTATGCCTAACATGCAGTCGGTACAGGCAGGGTAGTAATGCCGAGGACACACTAGTCAACGGCAGACATGACACCTGTGTTGTGTCTTTCTGTCTGAGCCTGTGGGACAGTCAGCACACCTCGCTAAGGGATCTCCGCTTTGTGCTGCCACTGGTCCAACCTCGGCCGCAGGAGTGTCAGGTTAGGGATGTTGCACATGCTGCAGATGAGGATTCTGATAGTGGTGTGTGATACTGCATATTTTGGTATCGATCCAATACCAAGTAAATACTGGACAGTATCATCGATACCGATCCGATACTTTTTAATAAATAAGGTGGATGCATCATTGAATTGCTAAATCTCAATACATTTTCGTGATTTTAAGTGTTTTTTGTGGTTTCCTTTTTATTATTAAATAGTTAAAACCCAGGACAGAATTAGAAAAAGTTTATAATTAAATAGAAAATGCTTTATTATCAAATGTTCTCTCCTCGTTTCTCAGGTTTTGTAGCTCCATGTTTTCTTTTGGACGGTTTTTTACATGTTTATATAAATTGGTAGTGTTTCCACTATACCTGACTAGCATTTTACAAATCACACATTTTGCTGTTGTCTCGTTTTCAACTTGAAAACACAGCCACACGGCGCTCCTCTTCCTCTCTGCCATTCTTCTGTTGCATTTTCTCTGTACGTGTGCTGATGACCCTGAGCCGGCAACTTGCTTGTTTGCCTGCTTTGTGTATCGAAGTCACATCACGTGACTCCCGTGACGGCGCAACATCTAAACACAAGAGGAGGGAGGGAGAGCAAAGTGTGCCTGCGCTGACACAGGAGCCATCAGTCCGGCGACCTGGTTGTTTCCTCTTGCCGATACTGCAGCATTGCAAACAAGAGTGGAACTTAATGTAAAGAATCGATATCTTCAGGCTAGTATCAATCCGATACCAACTTGGTATCGATACTATCGATATTTGGATCGCCCACCACTAGATTCTGAGCTGACGTGGCAGACCTGAAGAGGGGAGCCTCTGCTCTGTCCATGGCTTCATGAGTGCCATTGCCAAGGCCTGCATATACTGCCTTGTCTTCATTTGTTTGTCACCTCTCTTCATGGCATTCTCCTGGTGTATGATCCATGAGTTTATCACACCAGCGTTCATCATGCCATATAGTGCACACAGTGACCACCTCTTCTTCCACAGCCGTATTGAGCACACATCTGGTTGAAAATATCAACACCTCCCTTTGTTTGATTGTAAAATTCGATCACTTCAGGCTTGTGAATAGGTCCAATACTCGGTTGTGTCTGTGCCACGGGGGAAGAACACCAAAGGACACTAAAGTTACAATGTTACTCCCTTGTTAGCATGCCAGAGTAACCAAGTCTGTGACAGGATGACAGCTGTGGATGAAATGGGGCAGAGAATATGGCCGGCCTGCATGTTATTTCCCTTAAAAAGTGCAAAGAGAGCCTGATTTAAAACACTAACATCGGGTAAATTCCACCCGTAAAATATGTTACTCTCTATCACTGACATCTGGTGAAAATCACCCAAACGCATGCCTCTTGAAAAAACATAGATGGGAGGAGGGAAACATACCAATAATGACATCAGTGAGCCGCCTGAAGCTACCCAAGGACCCATGCAACTTAGACAGCAGCAACACAAAGAAATTCACATGACAAGAATTGTGTGGGTGAAAATCACCCAACATTAGTGTTCTACGGTTAAGCGCCCGGGGAGCGAGTGTGTGGGGAAGTCCCATGCTCAGAGCACCTCAGTGGTAACTTAGCTGGTGGACTCGAACCTGAAACCTTCTGAACAAACAAACAATTGTTCCTTACTCTAAGTATGAAGTGATGTTCCCAGACATACTCAAATGACACATATGACAACTAACAGATTTAAATAGAAATACATTTCAAGAAATAAATACTCTTGGATATTTTGTATCCAAGAGTATTTGACAAATACCCACAAATACTCTATTTTGTGGCACATATTTAACAGGCCATGTGCTGCACTGCACTCCTCTTTTGGCCTGGGGGTGCAAATCACACCTGTTTTTCTCATTTAGTGATGCGTGAGTACATAGTCAGTAAGACTTCCTGTGTTAATCTATATAAGGTACTAGGCCTTTACAGAGTCCAAATGTGATATGGTTCTACTTAAACAGGCCAAATGGAGTGCAGAAAGAAGGCTTCGGCTGGTCCTCCTCAGTTGTACCCACTGGCCAGGTCCATAGTCGACAAAAAGTACTTTTAATCTACAACAAAGGGTAATAACAGTAGGCATGTGTTTATAGTTCAACCTTGTTTTGTTTTGGGGTTTTTTTTTTTGTTTTTTTACTATTTCAAATAATGGAATTAACGATCTAGAAAGAAAACACAAAAATGAATTTTAGTCATTAGATAAATGGATAAAGTTTTTAAATGTGACTTTAAAATGTGTTGAAATGTGGAACTGTCAAAATGTTACGTATCTCCTGTTACACACGCCCCAAGGCATGCACAACAAAACCAGACAAACCTGTCATGTTTTGCTGGTTTGGGTTTTGCATGCTGTGGAAATGGTATGGCTGGTATTTTCCTGGGTTTGACTCTGGATTTATAAAGCTCCTCCCCAGCACTATAAATAGTTAAACACAGTTTAACTAGTTTTTATACATACAGTTTACTTTGTGTGGTACTTGGTTGGACAGATGTTTTTTAAAGCATACTCTGTAAGCTCTGTTTTCACTGGTTCTGTACTTAAACGCATTATAAATCCAGCTGCGATGGCATCAAATCATAGACTCTTGAAGCTGCTGACATGTGGACTTTTTGTGTCCACTATTATTGTCTTTTCATTTTTCTATGGATGGGATGTGCCAAACATTTTAAGAGGTAATGTCTCTGTCTAATTTGTTCTTTTTTTAAGCTATTTTTTAAATCAATTTAGATCCTGGTGAAATTTCAGATTTTTGTAGAACGAGAAGTAATGAAATGGAAATTTGGTTTTAAGGAGTGCTTACCTCATTTTAAGGCTTAATAAGAATAGCTGCAAACTAACTGACATAGTGTGGTTCTGCATGCTAGTTGGTGGATTTTGCTATAAATTCAATGTCTTTTATTTACAAGTGTTACTATACATGAGGATGACTAGGCGTAGATTTAAAGGGACAGGTTTAGTAATCTTAGTGCAGTAAGTCGCACTCCTTATTTTGGAGCCACATGAATGGAGAACAGTATACAATTTTGCACCAGTTTATTGCATGAAAAAATGTCCACCTTTAGTTTTTTTTTTTTTTTAAATCACAGAATACAGGACACAGCAGGTGCATGAGGACAGACAGAAACAGAGAAAACAGCTGATTAAAGAAGTTTGTGACAGTAACAGAGAAAAATATATGGAGATACCCTTGCGTGAAGACTATTGGAAGACCTTTCTCGTGGATGACAATTATCGCATCATCTACTGTTTTGTTCCCAAGGTGAGCCAGACAAATGAACTGATTCTTAACACCAATGATATAATATCTAATCCATAATGAGTTCTCGATTACCAATTATGCGTAAAAGTGGGTTAATCCATTATCATGATTTTTCTGATTAAACATTTTGATGGGACTAACCCATTTGGATCGAGAATGACTGCCACTTCCTGAACTCTGTAGTGACACTAACACCAGTTAGTGTGTTTGCTTGTAAATCGAGACATTAACTGTCTAAGTACTCCATGCATTATTCAGGAAATACTGGAGAACTGAAACAGTCACATTTTTTGTACCTTTTTGACATAAAGTGACTGACAGATGAAACGCAATTGATGTGGACGATAAAATTGAATGATATTTGATTGTGACTGATCTAAACGAATCAACGTGTTACTAATCAAAGGGTTTAAGTGTTGTTGTGGTTGTCTGTTAGTCTCCTTATTTATGGCACGTATTCCTACAGGTGGCCTGTACAAACTGGAAGAGATTCATGTATATGCTAAAACATGACCAGCTGTCTGTTGATCCCAACAATATAACTGATGATGTACATGCTGTTACAGCCCTTAACTACCTATGGAAGTTTCCAAAGGAAGAAATTGAGGTCAGTTCATATGTTGATCATATTTCAACAAAACTTCCTTCAGTGAGCAAGATCTGTTTACATTACATCCACGAAGTTGAGTTGTTGTTGCATTCAGACTAAGAATGTAACAATACACTCAACACACTCAACAAATCTCTCTTATTTCTTGACCCACAGGCAAAGCTGAAGAACTACACCAAGTTCATGTTTGTCAGGGATCCATTCGTCCGTGTAATTTCTGCATACAGAAATAAATTTGAATGGATAACCCAAAAGTACTACCTTAAATACGGTCGAGAAATGCTACAGCGCTATGGAAACTGGTCTAATCCACCAGAGACAGCTGAAGAGCTCCTAGCTATAGACAAGCGTGTTACATTTGACAACTTTGTGCAATACCTGGTGGACCCACGGAGTGAGGAAAACCGATTCTTTGATGAGCACTGGAGACAAGCGTATCGCATGTGTCATCCCTGTGTCGTACAGTAAGGACACGTTTGTCAAAATAACTGACTAACAAAAACCACACACACACACACACATTCAAAACTGCTTTATTCTAGATTAAATTTGGTGTTTAAATTCAACTATAATTGTAATAATAAATAATAAAAGGGTTTCCTAAATGTTGTAGAAGTGACATAATGGGAGCTTGGGGGCCATTTAACATTTTTAAAATAAACATGAGTCACCTATTATGAGTATGAGTGTGTTTAAAATGCACCATAACATATGTCATATATAAATCATGAATCATCATCTCTCCGTCTCTCAGTGATGGAGTGGCTATCTAAAGCACTAATGCACCAATGCATGTGCGGAGCTGTAAACTTCCACCGCAAGGGTTGACTGGTGTTACAGTCAACAGCCTTGAGTGTAAAAATGTGTAAAAATGATTAAGTTCAGTTTCATTATGTGTAACAAAATAATACTGGTATTTAATAATTGCCTCTCACAGCACCGGTATCCTGCAGTTTGTGTTAAATTGTACGTGAATTGTTACTGAAACTAGCTTAGCGTGACACAGCGCCACCTTGAATATTTTTCAGCAGCCACCGCTGACTGTAACTTTATTTTTTATCATATTTCCTAGGTATGATTTTATTGGACATTTGGAGAATTTGGAGGAGGATACTAAACAACTGTTTGAGCTCCTACATCTGCAGAATGACATGAAGATTGCTGATGCTTTTCCAAATGTGACTACAACAAGTGTTCTTTTGGAATGGTTCAGAACGGTGTCTCAAGAGGATAGAAGGAAGCTTTACAAGCTCTACGAGCCAGATTTCAAACTTTTCGGATACAGAAAGCCAGAGGAACTCTTTGAAACTGAAGACCAAGACAGAGCTCTGTGAAAGTCTTAATAAGAAAAAGTCAACTGCATGCACTGTTACTATTTAAACCGTCAAAGGGTTGTGTTTGGTTTATGGGTTATTTTTGGTACGTCTGGCTCTGCTTGGAACTACTTTGGGATAAAATGACCTGGATGACTGAGAACCTACACAGACAATCATGATTGTAATTAACTATGACAACTCATGAATAATCCAGATAAACTAACATAGCTAACAAAATAGGTAACTCTCTGACCAAAGTTAATTTTTTTTGTTACGTTTTCACATAAAATGTGGACTGGGATATTTTTGGGGTAATAGGGATGTGTTCTTGGTTTAAGTGTTCATGTGTGAATACTTTAACAGGATTTGTGGAGAATATTTTAATAAATACAGAGCTGTTATCTTGTTCTGTTGTGGACGAAGTAAAAATCAGTGAATAAAACCACCCTGGTATTAATTATAAACAGGTTTTACCTGAAAGTTGGCTTCCTTCGGTTATTGTACGATGACCAAAAAAAAAAAAAGCCTTCTATTCTAGGTGGCAGTCTCCCCACAGAAATACGTCCCTGGCCTCTTCATCAGCAGGATTGGAGGAACGTCACACCCAGTTTTGAAATGAGTCATTCAAAGCAGTATCACGTCTTAGGTTATTAGCTAGGGCAGGTATGGCCAACCTGTGGCTCGGGAGCCACATGCAGCTCTTTGCCCAGTTTGATGCAGCTCTGACATTCATGTGAATTTATTATCTGTGTTTTTTATGCTATGTGAAACTAATACCAATGGGCATTGACACAAATTACTTAGGGAAAAATCAATTCGCACAGATGAAAAGACGTACACAGGAAGTTTTTTAAAAGTAGGAGAGTTTTATTCTATTTTTTAAAGGGATGGGGAAGTTCACATGTGCACATGTATATTATGGGTCTCTTTGCAGTAACACGGTAAAAATTGAGGCTCTTGACTGGTTGGCCACCCTCGTGCTAGGGCATACCAATACTGAATTCTGGGCCAGGCCCATGTTTTTTTTATTGTGTTATGCATTTCCCCTTGTGTGCCAAAGAAACATTACTGAACTACTGAACTGCAGGCTTTCAGCTGGGGAGCAGAGCGACTGAAAGCTCTGCTCACCATGGTGGTGAGACAGGCGGAGGGGACAGTCAGGTGAATGGAGGAGGATGATCTAAGGGAGCGGTAGTAGTAACCGAACGATCTGGCCAAAAATTGACCCAGCGGACAAGAGCGTTCAGGACCATATTCACCATGCCTTGGCGTTAGACATGATGCAGTTCCAACAACACTTTTAAGAACCAGTGCAAGGACTAAGCATTTGGCGGACTGGCTCTCAGCCCCTTCCTACCAGCCTGGACAACAGATGTGGTTATTGGCCAAGGACATCCCTCTCTGGGCGCAAACTCGTAAGTTGAACATTGTCCTTATGAGGTGGAGAGGGTGGTTAACCCCTCCTCTGTCCACTCTCACCCCCCCTCCCCCCAATTAGTAGATGACCATCCTGCCTACAAGGTTTGGCACTTGCTGGATGTGCACAGTAGGGGCAGGGGTTGGCAGTATCTCATTGAGGAGCATTCTTAGGTTTCCCATTCCCTCTCCTGGATCCCTCCCTCAATAGGGAGTTTCATAGAGCCCACACTGAGAAGCCTATGGAACCAGGAGGCCACCCATGGGGGGGGTACTGTCAGGATTTTGTGTTGTGTTTATGTTAGAACTTCCTTGTTACGCCACTGTGATTCTGTTGAGAGGTTGGCTGTGAGCTTGATAGCTGCTCGTACCGGCACTGACTAGGCACTGATTGATTGAACATCATCAGCAAAGACTACAAGAGCTCCAGTCCGCAGACGATTCAGTGCCAGATCGTTTCCACGTTCTTAGTGGTAAATAGTTGGTTCACTGTTACAAACACTCTCTGTGTTTGTAACCGTAATCCATGATGTATTCCGTGATCTATTCCTCTGTTGTCCCAGATTTCTTCACTGTATCACTGTTTGTTACACTGCGCAAGAGACACTGTGTCCTGCATTCAGGTCTGCTCTGTGAGCAACGTAACAAGGCTGGCATTTGGGGCACGTTAGTTTTCCTATTAGTTATTGTGCTATTTAAACTTAAGGAAAGTTTAATTGTGCATATTGAAAACACTGTGTGTGTTGTTGAGAAGGTGTTGTCTCTTGAAATTTGTCCTGCTTTTATAGATACTTTGATAACATTCCAAGCACTGTTCTGTTGTAACTGAGTTCATCATCGGGTGTGTACACACACACCTTTTCACACCTAGTGGTTCCACGCTGCTGGATTTAAACCCCAGTTGCCACTCCTCTCTACCTCACACTTCTTTTTACACTAGGAAGTCGCTCACTAAGAACTAAACTAAGGGCATAGTCACTTGCTTGGTAGTGAAGAAGCAACATCTCTCTCTTTCTCTCTTCACGCACAGACTCTTGCATAAACACACACTAACTTTATCACCACACATTTGTGTTGTTTGTTGTTAGTAATTTATGTATCTAACTACTAGTGCACATCATATCAAGACACACACTGGGGCATAATCAACCTCAGCGGGGAACTTCCTAGGGGAGAGTGTCTAGTGGTAATGGCCGAAACACCCAAGATCCACTACTGATGAGGTGTCTCACAATAAGTTATTACAAAGTTTTTAGAAACATTTATCTAATCCCAAATAGTCTTAGCTTGGTAACTATTCCCCTGCCTCAACCCCATGCCGAAAGGAAAATCGCCCTTGAGGTAAGTTAGCACCCCTAGTGACAGTCAGGCAGCAATGCCCAGCAGGCAGACCATCAGCCTGTATCTTCATATACAGTAATACAAATTGGGTAGAGCATGACTTGATGTCAGTAATAATTATTCATTAATAATTGTATGTGTATGTTATCATAAGTATTAATTAATAACTTCTGTTTATTATATTAATGATTTTTAAAATAATGCTGATGGGACCCTTCAATGAAGTGAGCATCAGCAGTGAGAATCCTGCATCAACCGTTACTGAAAAAAGTAGCATCATTATTGTTTATTTCAACATAAAGATAAGGAATCAAAAGACGTATCGAGTTTTAAACGACAACAACAGGTTTATTGCGCTCCAGCCACTTTAACTGTGGAGGGGCAGCTGTGAGTGAGTGAGGGCTGAAGCAATGACGTTGAAGCGTAATCTTCGAAAAGCATCCTATGTGTCCCTCTAGCGTCAGTAATGCAGAACATCAGATCATGTTTTCAACTTACATCCACAAAACGGTCAAGAGTAATGCTATCTACAGTATACCGACCGTACTAACCTTTTTGGTTACTTACCTCCTCTTGGTGCGGGGTTCTTTTTTGTTACAAAGAAAGACCAGTACCTACGCCCGTGTATTGATTACCGGCGACTGAATGAAACTGCTGTCAAGAACAAATATCCGTTGCCTTTAATCAATTCTGCTTTTGAGCCGCTGCACCAGGATGTCATCTTCACAGATCTCAGGAATTATCTGATTAGGAGCAAAAAGGGAGACCTTTTTACTGCTTCTATAAATTAACTTGTGGTCAATATAATTCGTTTGGAGTTTTTTTTTTTTTTTTTTGTCTGTTTGTTTTTATTAATAATGTTTCAAAACAGTAAAACAACATAGTTAGTTGAATAAATATTAAATATAACATAAACATTCACCACATTATTTAAGTTACTGACCTAATTCAACAGTGGTCCAGTTTGTTGGTTCTCATAGATCACAATTAGTGAACTGGAGATCACCTGAGTGCAAGTAAATGTGTGTCAGCTGGTTGGAATTCAAAGACAGTCGTGTGTGTTACATGCAGGCTGTGGCTCACCGTTACTCATACTGCCGTTACACCTTAAAGCCAAACAGTTCAGTTGAATCCATCATTAAAATATTCAACAAGCATTAATGTGATTGTAGTGCGTTGGACAAATTTCCCTCGGTAACTATGACTCCTCCATATCAAATTACCTGGTGTTTGCCCAAATGAATACTGAAAAATATGGATATTAGAATTAAGTTATATGGTTTGATGAGACAGAATCTGAGCTTTTTGGCCACCAGACTACACATCACGATTTGTAAGGACCAGGTCGTGCCATAGTGCAGATGTGCGGCTGGGTGTGTCGCCATCTGCTGGAAATGAAGATGCTGTATCTGGCGCCGTCATCTCGTTCTTAGTATTAAAAAATAAAGTGTTTCTGGACAATGACCTGGACTGGACTATAAGCAAGTGGACCAGAGCCAGGTCTAATTTTATTATCTTTACAATTCTTATCTTCAGGATCTTTCAGTGTTTGCAGGGCGATGCAGAATGGTATTACGAGGCTGTGGTGGACAGTGCCTGTATGTGCTCTGCTCAGGAAGCAACCTAAGGGCAAAGGATACTACCAGACCCAACAAACTGATCAGGAAGGCCAGCCAGGTTGTGGGTGAAGATTTGGACTCTGAGTTTGGTGTTGGAGAGAACCTTGTAAAAAATGAGGACAATATTGGACACTTCACATCCTCTCCTCAGTAGATATTTGATTTTCAAGAATTCTCAGAGCACTTTACAGTTCCTTATCATTCTATAATTTTCAATTCTATTATGCATAATATTCATTCCATTTATTTATTCAAACTTGTAAAGATAATTGTAAAGATGTGACTCCACATGTTTCTGGTTTCAGTATTTTGACATTTCTGCTTCTATTTTTGAAGACAAAATATGAAGCAGACCCTTTGTCAGTGATATTTCTACACTTCCATTTTCTTTTCGCAGAAAGATTAAAAACTTCAAACTTGACACTGGTCCCCGGACCAGGGGTTTGGGACCCCTGGTCCAGAGGTAATACTTCCAAAGGGCGAGAGAAAACGGGATATATATCGCAACACACAATACATTTATATGTACAATATATTTTGACATGAAATACTTTTTACAATCTTTTTCAATATTCTAATTTGTGAGCCTGTGAGTTGTTTGTATGTGAAGAAATGCAGTGTTACGGGCAGAGTAGCAGACAGATGCAGGACGCCAGGTTTATTTTTTAAATATTTTATTCAATCCGTTGAGAATCAACAGATGTCCACGTGAGCTCCATTAGGGCTGTAAACCTTTGTTGACAACTAATTTGGCATTTGTCATTTCTGTTAATAGTCTTCTTTTAGCATGTGTAGTTCAAATTAACAAAAGCAAAAGAAACTAAAACACTAGCATTTACTTTCTTTCTGGCATAGTGCCATGCATATGATGTCAACTGTAAAAAGGATGCTGCCATTCTAACCCTTCAATCCTTCACTGAAAAGTCTTCATTAAATTATCAGTACTATATCATTCTTGTATCTATATAGATGTTCAAGATATCATCTAGTAGAGTGGCAATCATGGAAGCAGATGTATAGCAACTTCAGTTCACACCACAGATTTCACTCTACTCAAAGAGTTTAATACCATTTTGTACAACATTTAAAATGTACCTAAAAAAAAAAGTACAGTGAGACTATACATTTTTGGACCAGTGGTCCAGAAAGCACTGTCAAGCAAACTTACCTGTTTCATCTGAAGAACTCCAGTAGCAGTAGTCGTGTCACTTCCCCAGATTTGAGAGTAACTAGGAGTATTACATTTGAGAGTACTTTGGGGGACGGGGGGAAGCAAGGAGGGTAACGGTGAACAATGACGAGTGGGGTCTACAGGTTGTAAAACGATTCATCAGATTTGGATGGCTGGTGTTTCTAAATATATATTTAATATAGAGGCAAAGGGCATGATTTGGAGCACATCGGTGTACATCACAGCACAGATCGCTTTCGTAACACGACATTGGGCAGAGTTACGGTCTAACCTACTTTTTAATTTACAGTTTTAAAAGAACGGCACACAGACGGTTTAATTTAGATGAGAAAGTTTTAAAATTAAGAGAACAACGTGCAACCTCAAGTCAAGGTCGGATATAATTGAGTTCAGTGTTATCTGCAGTCACATGAATCGACTTGAGCTAAATACAAACCACATTAAAACATAAATTATAAAGAAAAATTACACTATAAAAACATTCTTACTCAGATTTCCATTGTTACTAAAGCAACAGCACAATTATGAATTAAAAACAGTCGGAGAAAAAGAAATGTGTTAAACTTGTACGATATGCTAAAGTTCTCCTAAAGTCATAACACAATGAGACGAGGACGTCGCATCTCAAGGAAACGTTACGCGCTCAGCCGCAGACAGGAAGCAGAAAACGTCACGTGTTTCAGGATGCAGCGAGCGGCAACGCAGGGGGATGACAATCCTGAAAAAAGAGCACATAACACAAATGAACTGTCTGCGACTGTTGTTTCAACTGGCTCTGTTCCTGCGACCTATAAGGATTTCACTTTTTTGAGATTCGCTTTTAAGTAAATTAACCTGAACAGTCGCGGAATGGTTTTTTTTAGTTCAATTCCAAATCTTTGCCACATACATGCTTTCCTTACGATTTCAAAAACAGAAACGTTTACTATTTTAAGTCTTTTTAACCCTATTACTTTTCAGAGTAGAGATTAACACTCATCTGTGTCAGACCTATTCTCACCTTCACATGATGCTGTGTGCTTAATAAGCATAGCGTGCTGGTGGAGGCAGAGGCAGCCGCTCTGCATAAGGGTCTCTGGCACGTGGAACACCATATGCCGGGACACGGGTAATCGGCGCAACATGTGAGCGATCGTAGGAATAGCCATTGCTGGCAGGTGGCAGTGGCGCATTAGGTGGTCTCCTAAGGGGACTGCGATCTCGGGCGTAGTACGAGGACGGAGGCGGCGGAAGGGGACGACGGTCATACGGGTCGAGGGCGGGCGCCATTAGCCGCTCTCTGACAACAGCCGATGGGGGAGGGGGCGGGGGAGGAGGAGGGATACCACTATGTTGATCCTCATAGGAGGTCATGCCATACGGACGTGTTCTATACTTCTCATAGTAATCTACTACACCATATTGATCCCTCTCACCCTCATAGGGATGGTCAGGATATGGTGCTCGCCTAGGTGGAGGGGGCGGCAGTGGAGGGGCAGGATAACCTGGGGGAATATGGCTCGGGCGACCTCTCATATAGCCAGGTGGAGGAGGCGGGTGACCCTCCCCTGGATAAGGTGGGGGCCAGTAGCCACCTCTATCTGGGGGAGGAGGAGGAGGGTAGTCGTCCCTTTCGTCATATCTGGGACGGCTCTTGGATAGCTGGACATGGATGCGTTTATCTATAAATTTGAAAAACAAAATAATGTGGTTTACACCGAGTTAAATTCCACTAGAATGTGTCACACAATGAAATCCCCAGCAAACCTTTGAATTCGGTGTTGTCCAGTCCCTTGATTGCATCCATGGCCTCATCAGAATTGCTCATATGCACAAACGCAAAATTTTTGACAATCGCACATTCTGTAACTGTACCATACTCTTCAAAGAGAGCGCGCAGCTCCTCTTTAGAACCCTTCTCTACATTTGCTACATGCAGTTTCACAGGGCCTTGGTTCTTCCCATGACTGGCCTCCACGTTAATTTGTGTCCCATGAAGCTTGTAAAGATGGAGATTTTTAATGGCTTTGGTGGCTGCTTTGCGGTCATCCATGTGGACAAAGGCGTAGTTCTTGATGATGGAGCATTCTGTCACAACGCCGTACTGGCAAAAAAGGCCTCTGATCTCGTCCTGCTCTGCCTCACGGGGTAGGTTTCCCACGAATATCTTTACCATCTTTGTGATCTGTTAGAAAGCAGTTGTAAACATTTACACTGTTAGGCAACATTAAGAAAACAGTAAAACTAAAAGGCGCCAACATCAACAGCGCTATTGCTCCAAATGAATGGGTAGGGAGGTCTGTTTTACTGCCCCCAACCACAAAATGGCGCACAGCATTTTTTATTGAAGCATCAACACCTCACGTCTGATAATTAATCAGACTTAATACAGAACACCTTATTATATAACATTAAACGGCGCACGAGCTAATATGAACCCAGGTCTACAAACCTACAAGGCACTAATTAAACTAAATTTCAAGAATTTAGGTGTGCAATGTATTAGCTACGGTGAGCTATCTAGACAATGTATGCATTTAAACAAGGCGCTGCGGTGAAACAGGAAAAAATACGGTAGAAGAAATTAATTATCAAAACAATATTCCTAATAGATTTCGAATAACAAACGTTTATTATACAAAGAGGGTTCTTTACCTTATCAATAGTAAATCACGGGGAACAATTAAGTGCTGCGCTGTTCCACGCACGTATAGCAACAACGATTTCTTTTCTGTTTCCGGTACCCGTTATGCCCTTGCTGCCTTCACGTACCAGACCAAACTCGGATTTTGAGGACACCATTCAAAAATTCAAACTACATTTAGATGTATGCATTTAGCAGACGCTTTTATCCAAAGCGACTTGCGAAATCCTTTATATAAAATTAACACCCCATTACCATCACTAATTTAGTAGGGAAGTGTATGACAATTGTTGTCATCACGTTTGTTATATTTTTAAAAACAATTAAGGTAAAGCTCTACAAATTTATCATACGTAACGTGATGCAACAATGTCTATGTACTTTCGCTTTGTTTGTTTGGGGGACTTTAAACGTTAGACATATTAAATTAAATTAAAAGATTTATTACTTCCCAATACATTATTTTGTCTTCTATTCTGTCTATGTTCCGTTTTATTAAAGTTTTATGGTCCAGTTGAATTGATTCGATTAAAATCTAAAGGATAAAAGCAAGAAATCAACAAAACTAAGGTTAAACTGATCTTAATGAGCTCTGTTGTTTTGATTGTCTTAAGCAATGATTCGTTTTTGTATTTCTATTGTTTTTGTTTTCAAATGAAAAAATATACTTTCGGAGCACTCATACAACCACAGCGCACTAAAAAGGGCTTGGTAGTTGTTTTAGAGTTCATGTCGAATCTGCTGTCTGCAGATTTTAAAAAAAATCAATGCTCTAATGACATTCATTTACTCTCACATGGGTACCTTTTCGACCAACTGTCAAAGTCACGCATCCGATACGTGTTTGTAAATACACCACAAATGTGAAAGTATGAGGTAACTACTTTAGTCTAAATTTTCATCACTCGGGACTTTTCGGATCTGTGGTGCTACATTCACTTGCACACGTAAAATTGTGTTTTAGACAATAAATAGCTAATGTTTAATTTTGGTGACTGCTTTTTTTTAATGTCACATTGATTTTGTCACTTATCATAAAGTCAGTCAAGCATAATTAATGTCACATTGATTTTGTCACTTATAAAGTCAGTCAAGCATACATTAAAGTATTTGTGTTTCCAATCGTAATAGGTTGAACGGTTTGAAGATTTTTCAACTTTTTGTAAGCAAAAACAAAGAAAACTTGATTTTGATTTATTTCAATTCACTCTCTCCACATTATATTAGTAGGTGTATTTAAAATTCGTTAAATACGTTTTCTAATACTAAGAGTGTTAAAAAATCAAATAAATTAAATAAATCTGGTAGCTGTAAATGGCCTTTCCCCCCTTTCTATTCCCCACCACATCACTTTGGATTTAGAGTATAGTGTACATGAACGTACCATCGTCACGGCTGGGTCTTGTGAGAAGGGGCAGGACAAAACTTTACGCTTTCATTTCTTGCGTCAGGGTTTTTCCGTCAGTTGCCTTAGAGCTGCATGTGGAATGTGGAAAGGAAACACTCTGCCTGGATATACACAATATAATCAACACAGAGGTAAAGCGCATTGATTTATTGGTAATATTTGTTGTATAACTAACGTTAAAGTGCAAAATAATGTAGTCTAAAATGCATTTTTGCAATGTCTCCTATTATGGTTGATGTGTTTCTCATCCTGAAATAATTTTCTCAGGACCATCATTTCTCAGTATTCCATCATGAATGCTTCTGAGACGATGGAGACAGAAGAGGATCTCCTGACATGTCTCCACATCAAACTCTTTCACCCTCGACAGAGTTATATGGCCGTGTATGGAGGATTGCCCTTAAAAGACAGAATACGACACTCAGCCGATGAACCTCTCAAGTTTGGCCGTGATTCCCAGGCCTGCACATACACCCTCAGTGACCCTCGGGTGTCCCGTAAACAGCTGGCCCTCCATGCCTACCGCACACCCCGCAGCCCAGACATGCTGTTTTCCATTCAGAACCTGAGCCAAAAGGGGCGACTGTTAGTTAACAATTCAAGTCTGGGCTACCTGGAGAGGATGGATCTCCCAGAAAAAGTCCTCATCCGGATAGGGGATTATGAAATGCTGATCACCTGGGAGTCTGGTGAGGCCAAGGCAAGTTTCGAGGTAGAGTTCGAGATCCTGTCAGTGTCTCTTACCAAGGACACATGTCCGTGTGTTCCCACCACAACACCAGTTATGGATACTGGCTCAGGTTTTCCTGACGGTAACCCTGCTGAGCTGATGTCATCTGGCCCTCTGGAGATGGACGAAACACTCGCATGTTTTTCCTAATGAACCTGCCTTATCTGACTGTTACATACATTCCATTCATTTTTTCCCCTGCAGGTTTAGGCAATATGTAGAAACATTAGATGCCATAGAGACTTATACAACCACTATTTGTAATGTGAGTGTTTTTACTAATATATTAACATGTATTTAATTTTCTATATATTAACAAGCTGTGAGTTTGTGAACTACAAATACTACATGTTTGGAAGCTGTTATTATTCCCTCTATCCTGTGGTGCATAAACAGGTTTTTGGTAACTCTTTTGTGTCTGAATCCTCCTTATCAGCTAACATTCCAGCGAAATAAAACCCTCTCATTGGTTTATGTTTGACCAAACAAAGAGTCTGGTTAAAAGTTCCAGTGTGTTTTACGTGGGAATTGACCTCTAGTTGCAGTTAAAGATGGGGTTTAGAACAATCCATGTAGACCAATTACAAATAGGAACTGTCAGGAACTATTTTACAATTAGCAGAAAAGAATGTAAGTTTTGTGGTTAAAAAAAATACTTGGGAAAAAAATGGGTTTTAGTAAAAGAATGTAAGTTTTGTGGTTAAAAACTGTTTTTAAAAAAATACTTGGGGAAAAAAAGGGGGTTTTAGTTACGGTATATAACACAATGAGACTTAGAACTCCAACTGTATGACTAAAATAAACAAGTTTCACCTCACCTCAATAAAATTGCAATGCAGCTATTAAACCCCACCCAAAATTTCCTGGCACCGTGTGACAGTGTCATCCTCATTTTTCTTGAGATAAGATAATCTCTATCAATCATCAACAAATGTCATTGTCAACAACACAGTCATTAAAGTAAAATAAGTTTCTGCCATTTTCTTTACCATAACCCTGACAAACAGCGCTTATGATTTTTGTCAAAAGTGTAATGGAGTCCCTTATTTGTCCAACAATGGGGAAGTTTATAGTATGAGTGTTACAGTGTGGTTCCTCTGAGAAATAGTGTCATTTCAACACCAGCCCCCTTGAACCTGTATTTTGTTGTGCTATCAAAAACCATCATCTGCATCACGTGCATATTTGTGCATAACATGTGTGCACATATAAGACACACTAGAAATCTAGGCTTTATAATACACAAATCCAGCTTTTCACACAAATCATGATTTGAGAAATTTGTGAGCAAGACACATTTTAAGCAACAAAAAGGATTGATGAGCAAGAAAGGGTTTTCAAGACTGTTCAAACAGGTCTTGAAATCCCTTGGGCTAAAATATTAGGTAATAAAAATCTACTCAAAATGCATGATACAACGTGGGTTACCAAGTCATCACTGTCCTACCCTTTTGATCAGATCTTGTCATAAACTGTAGAATGACACTATAAATGCACTTTGTTAAGCCATTGAGCTTTCAGCTTTTGTACAATTAAAGGTTTACCACTGAACCTCAAACACTATTGATAGGTCACCTGGGACATAACAAATATGCCATGTAGGCAAGATTTACTGCAAAGTTGATGCGCAGAGTGATTCATTCTACACTTTTTTTTAAACTTGTATATTGCCCCACACACCATCAAAGGATGATTTCTAATGGCCTTCAGTGAAAGCAGTTTCAGTATCTGACCAACATGGATTATCAGCACAACATTTAACAAAGGTCAGTACAAAAAGCTGTCGCTCAAGGAAGGAAAACTGTTAGTGATAGGGTGTTTTCGAAAAGCCTGATGACACAGCTGAGTTCGCAAAACTGTATGACTTCCCTTTTACTTTGTTTGCAAAATCCAAATATCCAACATGAAAAAAAAAGCAAGAAAGGCTTTTTTTAAAGAAACTTTATTACTCAAAATAGTTAAGAATTATATGAAAAAAATATAATGATAACCCTAAGTGGAACAGATGAGTCCAGAAACTGTCCCCCTCCACCCCCCATTCCCCAGTCAAGTTTAACCAAGACAAAAAAAAAAATCACCCACACCATTAAGTGGTAGGAGTGATTGCAAAAATATTCCCTTACCATCGACCGAACCAGAGAGATATGCCATGGACTGAACCGGACCATTTCACCACCTGTACAACCATGAGAATTCAGTTGAATTAGACAGTGCTCATTTTAAAACACCAGTAAAAAGACAAAGTCCTACCTTTCACTTCATGGTGTTAAAATAAACAAGGTCCTTGGACTCAATTCAACATATGACCTGCAACAGATAGAGATAACATGGAATGTCAACATCTGCTTGGTCAATATTTTTACCAGTTTGATTATAAAACTGCCAAGTGGTTAAATTCAATGTTGCAGCTCAAAAAAACCCAAAACAAAACAAACATCAATTTCACTTTTTCACTTCACTTGCATAAATAGAAAGTACATCAGACAACAACCACTTTCGATGCATTTTTTTTAAATATATAAAAGTCTAATTTCTACTTAATATTGTGGGGTGAATGCACACTTAAAATGAAATCTGTGTGATAATTGAAAATGTAATTGTAAGTGTAAGTGTAAAATATAGAAAAATGTTATAATACATACCTGTTCTGCAGGACGATGAACATCTTCCAAGGATGACTTACCATGAGCTGGTGCCTTCAGCATGGTCTAAAAGCTACAAAGAGCAAAGATACGAAAAACACCAACACTAAATGCAAATTTTTGGTACAAATACAAGACATTCAAGTTCAAAGTTAGTAACAGCCATAAAATGTGTAGGAGTGAATCCCCAATTTCAATCATTATGGTTGGCCCTGTACACCGGTTTGTTAATCTACGTTACAGATTAACTCTTCCACGACGATTTATGGGCCAATGTACAGCAAACCAAGAACGTCTTAAGAATGCAAAGGACGGAGGAATAAGGTTTGAATTGATGTACAAAAGCTATGGAAATAGATAAAAGAATCATGCATTTGCACTGCAGTGGCTCCTCACTTGCCTTGTTGCGAAGGCAAAGACAAACTGATGCAGGTTTTTAGTGGACCTAAAACTGGCTGCTGCGCACAATGAACACGAGCGGAACAACTTCATAGCATCTGTCGAGCTAATAACTCATGAGCGTAAGGGGTGGATCAGCGGAATATAGGTTAAACGCCGGAGTGTCATTGCATGCACCTGGCCTCGTGAACATCCATTTGTTGCATGATGCGGCTATGAAGCCCTGGCAGTGGAATAAGTTGACAGTTAAAACGCAATATTTGGTTTCAGTTGTTTATTAAAAAGCGTTCCAATGAAAAGCAAGTTGTGAAGTAAATAAAATCATACAATGAGTTACTGAGGTCCTATTCTCGCAAGAATAGATAACACAAGGTAGAAAAAGAACAAACTCACACTGAAATTTGATTTGTCATGCTAACATGTGTCGCAAACTTAGGATTATACAACCTGCCACACCAAGTTCTACACTGAAGCACTTTTCAGCTCAGCTTTTCTGTTGATGGGATCAACAACAGTGTCTGCAAACAATCTTCCCATGTTACAAGGTCTAGTTAAACTTCCAGGGGCCCGGTTCATTTAAAAGATTTAAAGATAGACTGTGCACTTTGTGTAGCCCTGCGTCACACAAAAGAGTAAACACCTAAGCCAGCAAACTAATCTATTAAGGAAATAATGTCTTCGAAGATTTTTGACAGTGACAGGCAGAGGGAAAGAAAAGCATAAAACAATTCAGGAAAAAAAAAAAACGTTAACTGTAGACAAGGAAGCGTATGTTTTAAATACGGGGTTGTCCGCAAAACAGTATCTTCCAGTAAGTCTCAGGAGAACGCAACGCAATCCGCCAAAGACGAGAGGGGGGTGTATAGCGCCACGTGCATCAGCAGACGACGACGGCGGCGATCTTGTCATATTCTAAACCTGAAAAGAAAGCACACACCACATGTCAAGGAGCGCATTTTATTCAGGGATCGCGCAAGACTGATCTCTGACGATAAAGCAGCATATTTTAGGATATTACCAGAAGTCTGGATTGTTAGTTTGTCATAGTGAATGAAGGTAAGTTGCATAACCGAGGAGCTTGGAATGATTCATGTGATTCTCGCCCTAACATTGATTTCTGTTTTTTCAATTGTTTACGTGTCCTATTATTGAATCCTTCAACCGGTGCAAAAGTCCGATTTGGCACGTCATGCCAACATCTTTAAATTCTTACCTTGTCTGGCAGTTAGGTGCCTAGTAGTCTGCATAGCGTGGAGGAGGCGGCGGAGGTGGCACCCTGTCCGAATAAGAGTCCCTGGGCCTGGGGGCTCCATACAAGGGCGTTCTAGACATTGGAGAGATTCTGGCACGCTCATAGGAGAAGCCATTTCCCGCAGATGGAGCAGGTGGTGGGGGTCTCCTGATTGGGCTTCTGTCTCGTGTCATGTAGGATGGTGGTGCCAGTGGGCGCCGCTCATATGGATCAAGGGACCCCATTCCAAGGCGTTCTCTAACCAGGGCTGAAGGGGGAGGGGGAGGAGGAGGAATTGCTCGTCTGTCATCATAAGGACGAGCTCTGTATTTTTCATAGTAATCCACCACTCCATAGCCATCTCTCTCGCCATAGCCGTGATCAGGATAAACTGGGCGCCTCGGAGGAGGGGGCGGTGGAGGGGGAGGAGGGTATGCAGACATGCGGCTTCTGTAAGGATGCTCCGGTCCCATACTTGGATAACGGGGAGGATAATAGCCTCCCCTAGGTGGAGGGGGTGGATAAGGCTCCATTTCAGGTGCTGCTCTGGGTCTGCTTTTAGAAATTTGAACGTGAATGCGCTTTCCTGGTAAGATAGGAAACAATACCTCTTAACTAGATGCACATACACATGAGCATCAAGAGAACAGCGCAACAAAATATTCACTAACCTTTAAATTCGGTGTCATCCAGGCCTTTTATTGCATCCATTGCCTCATCATAGCTGCCCATATGTACAAAGGCAAAATCTTTAACAATGGCGCATTCTGTGACCATGCCATATTCTTCAAAAAGCGCACGGAGGTCATCTTCTGACCCCTTTTCAACGTTGGCAATGTGCAGTTTGACAGGGACTTGGTTCTTCCCTCTGCTGAGTTCTACATTGATAGGTCTGCCGTTCAGCTTGTGGAGATGGAGCTCGCGAATGGCTTTAGTGGCAGCCTTACGATCTTCCATATGGACAAAGGCATAGTTTTTATATTTGGCGCATTCTGTCACTGTGCCGAACTGAACAAACAAGGCTTCAAGTTCGTCCTTCTCGGCATCCTGGGACAAGTTTCCAATAAAAATTTTCACCATGCTTGCTCCAATATCAGTCTGTGGGGGGGAAAAATATACGAATTAACACAGCCCCCCATGTCGTCACAGACCACTGCGAGCAGATCGTTAATGGCTAACACCATTGTATGTAAATGGAAACTCGGAGGGAAAACATGCATTTAGCAGAGATCAAATGACCTAAGCAAAGCATTCATATCCACCGTGACCTCATTTTTTAATTTAAGATCAATTTAATGTTAGTGTTATTCCCAAAATATACTGTGTGAACTTCCTGGCCTGGCCCGTTTGAATGGCATCTGTTAGCAGGCTAACGGTAGCTAACAGCCATTTTGTTAGCAGGGTACGAATAAAAACCAACCACGAGAGTCAATTACGCCAAAGGGTGGTTTAATTTGAAATTGTGGAGACTAATAATGTTCTTTACATCGTTGTAGGTAGACGGAAACTGTATTTTAAATAAATACAAAATTATACTCACGTACAGACGCGGAACCCTGAAGCCGAAACTTTGAGTTCACGAACAGGAAATGCCGGCTTAGCTATGTACACTAGGATGTTATTCTGATTGGTTGGCTGACATGTCAATCAAAGGCAGATGGAACTCGACTGAATACAGGTATTACTTGTTTTGTAAGTAAACTAGCACAAAACACTAAGCTATTAGCCTAGAAAATGTACAAGAAGTATTTGGGAAACTATTATATGTTATATTAAGATCTAATTAAATGTTGAATAAAGTTTCGTTATTAGGATCTGCAGTTTTGTTTTAAAGTAGCTGTGTTATAGTGGTCACGTTTAAACTAAATGCTAAATTATTGCCTGATACCAGCTGGTCACAAGACCCTCCGAACTCGTCCTTTTATGTTTTATGCTTTGTTCTCAAAATACGTAATAATAATAATAAAAATAATTAACCCGAGGGATACTCCGTAAAACTAAACATTTTAATAATAGCAGTAATACACATATTTTGTAAATCGAGCTCTATCTATGTGTTTATTATAATGTATAAAAACACATTGATAGGTCGAGATTCTTGTAATCCAGGTGCGTAGAGTGTAGCACCATCTTGTGGTCAAGTTTCATATGGAGCTTAACAACAAATATATTAAGTAGTGATTTCTTCCACCTCTGGCCATAGCAAAGCAAAAATGTTTTATTATTTTATCCTCTTCTGAACACATGATTTTTCATCTAATTAGCTTTAATGAGCATCACAACCTGGTGTTACTTTGCTCACAAAATATTTTTTTAAATACACACAATAGGTTATAACAAGATAATCCTGCCATTGTATATTGTGTTTGCCCTGCCATTCGTTTCACATAAATGTCGTTTTGGTATATTTTCCATAAAACAACTCTGATTAATGCAGATATTTTTGTAACAATCATGTCAAAAAACTAAATAAAAATATTTCAAATTTACCATAACCATCAAAGATTTAGTTTAGTGTTAATTAAAACAGCATATTAATTCACTGTGTGTGGAAATCCTGTAACGAAATTCTCTTTTAATAATCAAACATGTGTTCTTCGGGAGACTCAAAATGTTTTAATTAACTGTCATAATAGATAAATGTGTGCTACTTCCTTTAATACGTATTTTACTTTTTGCTAAATCTGAGCTTCGCTCTTTTTTTCTGTAGCAATTGTTTATATATATATATATATGTGTGTGTGTGTGTGTATATATATATATTGACATTAAATGCAATCTGCAATTTGTCTTTGTTCATTCTTCATAGGACATACTTTTATCAACTAAAAGATAATGCCAGACCACATTCTAAACAAATCACTTAAGTGTGTTTTCCTTTGTTGACAGAGACCATTCATTCCGTCCAGATCTTTCTGCTAGTAAAACTATGGCTCATCCTGACAATTAATGGCTAACATTATTGTAAGGAAACGGAAATACAGATGCAACTGAAGGTTAAAGGTCTATAACTGTTAATAAAAATAATAATAATAATAATAATAACAGAGTTACAGTAGGGATACATTTTACAGTGAGTCTTTGCAACTGACAGAGCAGGTGCCATCAAGTGCATAGTTGCAACTCCTAGGAGGCACCACTAGGGATGTGTGGTTCCACTGGGAATCAAAGTCAGAACTCTCTGCGCTTTGCTTGCAAGTCAGGCATGCTTACAACTACACTACTGAACCACAATAATTCTATCAAGCAAGCTAAGCAAGCTTTAGTTAGCCAACAGCCCTTCTGAAAGTGAAAGTGAACTACTTGTCATTGTGACACAGCACACCACTGCACACAACCAAATGTGACCTCTGCCAAAGTGAACAGTGGAGCAGTGTGTGGGGACGGTGCGTTGCTCAGAGCACCTCAGAGGTAACTTGGCAGCCTTTGGGATTCGAACCTGAAGCCTTCCGGACCCAAGTCTGCTTCCTTAACCAATAAGCCACCACTGCCCTGCTCTGTTAGCAAGGAAGCGATTAATAAGCAACCACTGGAGTCAGTAACACCAAAAAGTGGTTCAATTTGAAAGTGTGTCAACAAAAGCTGGAGATTCAGAGAGACTGTAGACTGTCAATCAAATCCAATCAAAGAAAATGAGCTGTAATGGGCTCAGTGGAAAACCTCTCAGCGCTAACCCTCTTGAAACATTTTTACGTTTTCATTGTTCTGGAAAGAGCAGCCGAGTTGTACACGGTTGCAAAGTGATTTTGTGTTAAACACAACATCGCTGCAGTCTGTAAATAAAACATTAGATAATAATACCAATTCTGGCTGCTTTGTTAGGAATGAGGGACGGAGTTTTAAAGAAACAAAGCGTTGTAAAAAAGTTATATACCAAACAATGAAAAGTCCTTTATTGCCATCAGAACACGAGTGAGAAAACCAGAGACAAAAATCTGACAGAGTGAGGAGTCGACTGTACAACCAGCATCCACACACCCAAACGCACAGCAGCCTTTGAACAGGACAATGGGGATACACATACATTAGGGAATACAGTACTCACACAATGAGGTATAGAGGTAAAACGCAAACACACCAGTAGGGCTTCGTTCACCACCCACACCCACACACACACACGTACATACATGCAGCTAAACCAAGGTACAAATACTCGAGTGCTCGTTCATTCTCTAAAAACACAGCGCACAGGTGAGCAGAAATGTGTAACAGCAGCAGCATCTGGGTCATCTCCAGTCTCATCTCTCAACACCTTTGGTCAAGTGTCATGCATGATGTTGCCCTTTTAAAATGTAATACTTTGTATTCTATCACTTGTGTCCACCAATATAAACTAGGGTGTTTTGAGCGGATGGGTGAGTTTATTTATTCTCCCTTTTTCTAACTCTCTCCTCAGGGTCGAGTTTCCACTTTAGCTGGACATCCAGTGTGTACATTAGCAGCAATTCTAGAGAATGAGACAATGGCTTCATAAGTCGGATTATTTTCGCCCTATCCTCATGCACAGTACAGGCACCACCTATGACATGTTTACTAAATGCCATGCAGGTTAGAAAAATAGACTGCAAACTCACAAGACAGAGAAATCAAGGTTCGTCTCCAGAGAACAAGTTGATTTCACTTGAATTTTTTATTTCTTTTGCTTTTTTCTAAGATGTGGAAATAGCAACAAAAATTGAGAGCGGAAACCAAGACAACAGTAACAACATGAGCAGAGAGCCACTGAGGTCTTACAGTTCCTCTCTTACTCCATTTGCCGACCCATACTGC